TTTTCTAGGTATGTTATTTGTTGGTTTGTTTGTTTGTTGTTTGTTTGTTTATTTGTTTTGGTGATATGACCTTAGTTGATTAGAACCCGTTTATAAAAATTTGGCTGAAAGAGGCAGTGCAATCATAAAAGAAATTGGTTTACAGAAGACTGAGTCAACAATATAAAATATTCACAAGACATAATTACATATCACAAAAGGGTTATCATCAAGCACTTCTAAAAGCAATGATAAGAATAAAATATTAAAGAGACAGGGGAAAATATTCATGTTTGACTAAATGACCATATGACTAACTGAAGTTTTGCCAAAGAAGAATATATCAACAATGTGATTCTCGATCACAAAGACTCAATAGCACAATTACTCTTCACTGGTAACACATGCATGAATAGCCTAGCAGGGTACGCAACAGATCTGATTGGTAGTTTCCCATTTTCTTCTTTTAACACAAAACACTCACACTATCAAGAATATTAATTAAGTCTTATTCTCCCTTCAAGACTAAAGCCATACCAAGATAGCATCAAAACATAATCATTATTAAATATAAACAATATTAACAACCAATTTTTGAATAATCAAATAGCCGTCACAAATTTTCAAAGAAATTTCACGACAATTTCAACTCATAAGCATTGCCATTCATGAAAATAATCAAACAAAAAATTTGCCCCACTAGACTTAAAAATACATTCTACCAAACATTGACAACAAATACCATGCATAAACTGTCCAATAAAGTGTGGGGACAAGGGTTCATTTCAGATTTCCTGCACAAAGCTTGTTGTTAGGATATGTGTCATATGTTCTGTAGACTATAAAAACTTGGGTTACATTAATCACCAAGCAAGCACATGTATACAATGAAGTCAAGATGGGCAAGTTTAAGGCTCCTCTCAGGCAACAAATGTTTATGAGCAACAGCTTCATATATGCAGGCAAGACAGTAACAAATCCGAGCACATTACTTTAAGTTGTCGACTTCATCTCTGTGCATGGGATAAACACACGAGATGCCTCTAAGCAACTCAAGTGGCTCAAACTTGTGAATCCATCATATATGCAGGCAAAAAGTAAGCCTGTGGTAAAGATTTTTTTTAAGGCACAAAACGCAACAGGGTAGGTACAAATAAAGCTAGCTGAAGTATGGTTTAGCACTGCACTAAGTCTTTAGTCTTAGAATCTGTTATTTGTGAGCGATATCTCCTTTTCACCCAAGTGTGCTTTCAATTCATGTAAAAATGTGTTTGCGAGAATAAGTCCTCAGTGTCTCTTGACAAACGAGTTGGAAATATTGAGGTCTAACATGCATTCATTGCACTGTGAAAGAGGAAGGCACAAGAGAACAGAAATAAGATCTGCACTTCCTATAAGACATGTAACAAGACTGGGAAATCTGGTTCACTTCTGAACTGAAAATGAAACATCTATTAAACTATCTACTTAGAGTCAGGCACTGATTCACTGTCACTACTTCCTCTGGTCTTTACATTCACCTTATCCCCTGCTTTATCATTAGTTTTATAATTTGTCTTGTTTGGTGGTGCTTGAAAACTTGGTTTCCTTCTTTCTGAAGATGCAGACACTGTTAATGGGACTGGGACACTAGTGGGAGAGGAGGGAACAGACAATGGAGGCAAAGGAGGAACAGGGTTAGACCCTTGTAATGTTGGTAACTGTCGTAGAAGAGGTAATGGCCTTCCTTTTTCTGGCGTTGATTTGGCATGAACAAGAACTGATTCTTGCTCCTTGACAGGACTCAGCTTCTGTGGCAGCTCAGGACAGTGATTGCTTTTCTTGGGAGTCAGAGCTTGGCTGGGACTTTTCTTTTTAGTTGAATCTTTGTCGTGAAGCATGCGAGAGATGCGCTGTCGGAGTGCCGTGTCTGTGGGAGTGTGGGGACCTGAGGGAGTTGGTACAGCTAGTGTATGACTGAGGACAGGCCCACATGATGATACAGGAGTAGAAGTAGGAACATTGGTTTTTAACGGACTTCCAGGAGAGCCTCCTTGGCTCTGATCTTGGGAGTCTCGAATCTGTATAGCTTGCAAGAGTATCTTCATTTCTTCTGAAATCTGAGGCTGATCTTGAGAGTCGGAGGTTGACAGGACACCTTCCTGAGGTGCCACTCCAGAGGCCTCTATGACAACAAAGGATTCACCTTTCTCACCTGGATTGATAAGACTCGTACCAGACACTGCTATGTCACGAGGAAAGCGCAAAACTGGAGATAAGCCTTTGGAAGAGTCCATTACATATATAGGCTGTACTAATTCCTCTCCAGGACTACATAAGGGTGAACTGAGTGATGAAGGTACAGAAGGTGGATGTTGTACCAAGGTGGAGGTAAAAGAGGTTTGCACCAGTGTTGGTGTCAATGGAGATGCCAGGGATGAAGGAATCATCTGACGCATCACTCCACTGACATCTCCTGGTGACACAGATGACACAGAGGAGCCCTTTAGTAGAAGAGCCTTCAAGAGAGTCTCCTTCTGTG